AGCGTCCCTGATCCCGGGAAGCATCACGGATCCCAGGGAGCGTCACTCCTGCCCTCTGTCCCAGCAGGAATCTCGGGGGAGCAGCAGGACAGTGTTTGCTGCCGCCCCTCCCGGGATCGCGGGGGTGGGAACAGGGCAGGCGGTGCCAGGGGAGAGGCTCTGCCCACGTGTGGCTGCTGGCACGTTCCTCTGCCCGTGCCAGTGCCACCCTTTGTGGCTTCCCGTCCCCTCGGGTGGATCCGGGGGGGGGAATGGGGTGAGTAAGATGCAAAGTTTCTGTTTAAGCAATAGAGATGTTGTTTCTCTCGCTCCAGCCCTTCCCCAGTGTCTTCCCTACGTGTTCCCGAACCTCTGCTTATTCCTCCAAAAGCTCTTTGCTGCGGGATAACCACCTGGGAATCACTCTGCCCTTTGGCTTCCCAATCCCTCCCTTCCGTGGCAGATGGAGCCTATCCCTGACCCTGATCTGCTCTGGAAAAGGAGTGGATGAGACATTTTGGATAGTTCTTTTCCACTGCTTCTCATCTTCCACTTTTATTTTGTCCTGGAATGGGAAGGAGTTTAATAGGTAAAGAGAGCACCAAGGGAGAATGAGAGAATCCCAGACTGGTTTGGGTTGGAAGGGACCTTAAACGATCCAGTTTCACCTCCTGCCATGGGCAGGGACACCTTCCACGAGACCAGGTTGCTCCAACTCAGCTTTGGATACTTCCAGGGATGGGCTTTGATGTAGCTGTGTCTGAATCTGCCTCGCTCTGGGAGGTCCAGGGAATGTGATTCCTTTTTAACCCAAATTTGTCAGATTACAGGAATTTCTGTGCTCCTGACAGCTCCAACCCCGTCTCTCACCTTCGGGAAGGAGACACCCAAGTATTCAGAGGCTCCTCAGGGATATTCAGGATGAGTTTTCCTTTCTGTCTAAACAGCAAGTTTGTCAAATTTCCGTGGGAAGGGGGATCCGGGAAGGATGAGCAGGGGTGGGCTGGCTGCTCCCGCTGGGAGCTGGATCAATGTTTGGGAGTGTTTGCAGGAGGAATGGGAGCCTTGGGGTGATGGCAGAGCTCGTCCATGATCTCAGAGCAGGGGATGTGCAGTGGGGAGAGCTCTGGCTGAGACAAGCCGAAGGAGGAGCCTTTGCCAAGCAGCAATGCCATGAGATCAGCACCTGGAATTCCTCCTGGGCGTGTGGCTTCGCGGGAATACTGCAGGGACAAGCCCACCAGCAGGGAATAACAACCTCCTTTTAGATTCTCCTGAAGAGGGTTGGGCCTTTTCATTACTGAGGAGCAGAGTCACTCCAGAATCCAGGAGATTCTGGCAAGGAAAGACTGTAGGGGGGGGTTGGAAAAGCTGGAAGGTGTCCCTGCCAATGGCAGGGGATTGGAACTGGAGGAGCTTTCCAACCCAAACCAGTCTGTGACTGGTTTTCTCCTCTGAAACAAGGGCTCATCTCCCACAGCTTCCATGAAAAAACTATGGAGTGGGAAAAGAAAAGAACCATTTCTGACAAACCTGTAATCAGGTGTCCCCCTCATCCCCAAACACTGGGCCAGTTCTGAGGGGTTTCCTTTCTTTTATTTATTCATTTGTTTGTTGGGGAAAAAAAACCCTGATTGTCGTGGCAGACTCTGAACCAAGCAATTTTTTTCCCCCCTGACTTTTGGTTTGTGGTTGTTTGTGATTCAACTCCAGCCCTAAATGAGCAGTGAGTGCTCTGCAAATTCCTCATCCTGAGGGGGGACATCCAGGAGTTTCTCCTTCCTGGTCACTGGAAGGAGGGACCCAGCTGCTGTCAGAAGGAAGAATTAACTCTTTGTTTCCAAGACAGGCAGTGAGATGTTCTCTGCTGTGTCTTGGGGCAGTCACAGATCTCTCTGTTAGAGATCTGTTGATCTCTTGTCAGATCCCTCCTCAAGAGCCCTCATGTCTTGCTCCCACTGGCCATCAACGTTACCCCAGAAGCCTCTGGGATCTGTAGACTCCAGAAGGTCTATCCCACCTTTATCTAAGGTCTCCTCCCCCACTTTCTTCCCAGACCTGGAAAAACACCTCAGTCATGTCCGCTCTGAGGGAATTCCTGGTCTGGATTTGGTTTTTCCTCTCCTTGAAGGGACGTGGGGAGGAAGCCCAGCACTGGGACAGCAGCAGAGTGTCCCCCCCCTCCAGGCTCTGTGGCTGTGACACTGTGGCCATGCTGTCCCCTCCATGAAGGTTTTTACAGCAGAACTGTTATTTTGCTTATCCCCCTTTTTTTTCATCTCTTCCAGGGGCTTGTTGGCTTCAAGCAGTCTGTGCAGGGGAAGGTGCTGCTGCGACCATGATGTCCCTGGGTGTCAGCAAAGGTAATTTCTTCCCTCTTGTGGCTCTCCTTTGTTTCCCCAGCTGGAATGTCTCTGCTCAGCTCCCTCAGGGCAGTGTGTCCAAGGGCAGAGGACACCACTTCCCTGGCACCTCACTCCAGGAATGACACTGAGGGGCTGGAGCGTGTGCAGGGAAGGGAATGGAGCTGGGAAGGGGCTGGAGCAACAGGAGCAGCTGAGGGAGCTGGGGGGGCTCAGCCTGGAGAAAAGGAGGCTCAGGGGGGACCTTCTGACTCTGCAACCCCCTGACAGGAGGGGGGAGCCGGGGGGATGTTGGGCTCTGCTCCCAGGGAACAAGGGATGGGATGAGTGGGAAGAGCCTCAAGTTGCACCAGCGGAGATTTAGGTTAGATATCGGGGAAAATTTCATCATGGAAAGGGTTGTCCAGCCCAGGGCAGGGGTGGAGCCCCCATCCCTTGGAAGCCTTCAAAAAACATGTGGATGTGGCAGTTGAGGACATGGTTCAGTGGTGACCATGGTGCTGCTGGTTTGATGGTTGGACTCGGGGATCTAAAAGGTCTTTTCCCACCTTAACGATCCTGTGATTCTGTAATTCCTTGTCTGCTCCAGCCTGAAGCTCCAAAATGAAGCTATCCATTCCATAGAGATGAAAATACAGAGAGCTGGAGGGCTTGTAGCCTGGCTGTGGCTCTGAGATGAGCAGATCACTAATAAATTCCCACATTATGTTTTCAAGACCCTCCTTAAAATTCCCTGTCTCTGCAACCCCCACTGGAAGTACAGCCACAATTAGATGGGATGATGCTTCCAAATCCATAGGGAAGCCCAACCAGTGCTATGGAGCTGATGGAAATGCCCCATTTCCATTAGGAAGTAGCTTTAATTTTCAATTTCAGTGCTTCCCTTTCCAGGTGCTCCCCATGGAAGGTGTCCCTAAAGTGACCCTGACGTGGCTGTGGCCCTGTATAACTGTGCTTTTTACCTGCTCCTGCTAATTCCACGTGGGGAAGGACACTCTCCTCATCCCCACAGCTGTGTTTTCCTTAGAGATGATCCAATGGGACCATTTTTTTTTTAAACAAAATAAAAATCCTACTCCTAACAAACAACATCTCCTTGAAGCACAGGAGCCTGTGCCAGAGATAAATCAATTTGCTGCCCGGCAGCTCCTCGGGGATGAGGTTTTTCTGGGCAACCTTCAGCTCATCCTGAGCACAGAGACTGAGCTGCCCCTCTTTCCTGATGGATACGTGGAATTATTTCGTGCTTCCACAGGCTCAGGGAGCCCAGGCAGCTCCCTTGGATTGATTGATAAGCTGCAGGAACTCGCTGGTGTCCAAACCCCTGAGCTGGTTTGGGTCCAGTGTGAGGACCAGAGCAGGCTCCATGTTTTTCAGCATTTATCAGGCATTTCCATACTAGAAAAAGGTGGAAAACAGTCAGAAATACATGGAAAAGGAGATTTCCTTATCTGGTCCTCATCTTACAATTTCTCCATGGGAAAACAGCTAAAAATGCCCCCTAAAATGCCCCTGTTTCTCTCTCTATATATATAATATCCAGCTGTAATCTGTTTGATCCAGCAGGATTTTGGCACTCGGGGATGACCAAACCCCTTCCCATCAATCACCTGCACATTTCCTTCCCTTGGGAGAGACTTTTCCTGTCTGCTTCCCTGTCTGCTCCCAATATTTTTGGCTTTAATACTCCTCCCCATGAACTTGTGCTTTTTTCACCCCATCTGTTTCCCACTGGAAGGGCTTGGCCGCTCCTAATCCATAAACCTTCTGTTTTCCCACATTTTGATTTTATGTTTAATTGCATTGCTGACCTTTCCAACCAGAGAGTGTAGTTGTGGTTGGTTGCCTGGACAGAGAGAAGGAGGAGGATGGAGACGAAAGAGAGCCCGCACAGGAGAGGATATTCCCAGATTTAGGGACACTCAGTTGGACAACGTTTTTGAAACAGAGCTTGGTGATGGAAATGTGGGAATGAGGAGCCAAAGGACGTGTCTCCTCCAGCTGGGACAGGCCACCAGGGCAAGCTGAGAGCTTGGTGTGAAAACACCCTGCAGAGGAGGAGATGCATCAGGATAAGTTGATCCTGAGGTCTGGATGACCTGGTGTCTCCACGTTTCGTTGGAAGTGGGAAAAGACTCGCCCTGTGTCGGGATCTCTGGCAGAAAGGAGAGAGCCCCGTGCTCCTGCTCCTCTACCCCCTCTCACCTGCTGCTCTGGGAGGCCTTGGCCTTTCTGATCCCTCTCTCCTCCCTCCCCTTGGCTCTCCAGGAGGGATCATCCCCCCCACGGACGAGGACCGGCGCAGGATCATTAAGCAGATGAAGGTTCGCACCACCCTGAGAGGAGACAAGAGCTGGATCCACCACCACAACTCGGACTCTGAGGATGAGAAGAAGAGCAGCCCCCTGTAAGTGTGGCCACGAGGATGCTCCTCTCCTCCTTTCCTTCCCATGAGGATGCTCCCTTTTCCCTTCCCTTCTCCTCCCACTCCTGTGAGCAGACCCACAGGATGCCCAGAGTTGGGAGGGACCCACAAGGACCATCCAGTCCAACCCTTAGCCCTGCACAGGACACCCCAACAATCCCACCTTGTCCAAGCACTCCCGGAGCTCTGGGTTCTCCAAGCCCTCTGTTCTCCAGCTGCAGAGGAAGCAGACGTGGTGCTGACCTGTTTTGGGGTCTCTGAGGTGCCAGGCAGTGACAGGGCCAGAAGGAAGTGCTGCTCCTGCTTATTTTGGATAAATGCAGGAAATCCCCTTTCCTGGGAGCTGGGAATCCAGCAGCACAGGCACATTGGAAGTCTCAGGAGAACTCCAAATTTTTTTGAAATGCTTCAGCATCTCCAGAGTGACAAACACAGGGCAGACCTGGCTGGGAGGGAGTTCAGCTCCCACAGTGCCAGGGAACACCAGGCTGCACCAGCTTCTCTGGAATTAGAACCCAAGCCAAGCCCAAATCCATCTTTTCTTCCAGCTCTCTCCAAAAACATCATTGCCATGTTCAGCCAGACCATCAATTCACGATGTTTTCTCCTCCCTCAGGTCTGGCCGGGCTGGTGGGGGATCCCCAGCCCCAAAACCTGCTGCTCCCCAGAACGACAGGTAATTTTGGGGGCCCATCTTGGTTTGGGGATCCATCCCGTTCCTTCCCCTCTCACAGGGTCAGTGCTTCCAGTGGTTCTTCCCCTCCTCGAACCCGCTCCCTGCTGGGATTGTCCTGGAAAACAAAGCCCTGGGGATGGATGGAGGGATGGATGGAAGGAAGGAAGGATGGAGAGAGGGAAGGAGGGATGGAGAGGTGAGAGATGGAGGGATGGATAGAGAGGGAGGGAAGGATGGATGGAAGGATGGGTGGATGGAGGGAAGGAAGGAAGGATGGAGGAATGTATGGAGGGAGGGAGGGATGCATGGATGAGAGATGGAGGGATGGAGGGAAGGAAGGATGGATGCAGGGATGTATAGATGGAGAGATGGAGGGATGGAGAGAAGGAAGGATGGAGGGAAGGAGAGAAGGAAGGATGGAGAGAAGGAAGGATGGAAGGAAGGAAAGAAGGAAGGATGGAGGGAAGGAGAGAAGGAAGGATGGAGGGAAGGAGAGAAGGAAGGATGGAGGGATGGAAGGAAGGAAGGATGGAGGGATGGAGGGAAGGAAGGATGGAAGGAAGGAAGGATGGATCTTTCCAGCCCACAGTCCCACAGGACTGGAGCTGCAGCTCAGCCCCCTGTGTGCTCTAAGCCTGGGGGCTACTCAGAGCAGGAGAAGCCCTGGGTGGGGCTGGAGCACAAGGGCTCTCCATGAACTCAGCAGCTGGGAGGAGGAGTGTCCTGGGATATCAGACTGTTGGGAAGGGCCTAGTGCAGCGTGAGAGCTCAGTGCCACTGCTGGGACAGCACTGCCCTCTCCCAGGAGCAGTTTCCTACTTCCTCTCCCTTTTCCTGTGCCAGCTCTTGCCACTTCTTGTAGCACTTAGACAGGATACCCCCAGAGGAGCTCCTTTCCTAGGAATGGACCCTCAGAGGAGTTCACATGAAGTTGTTTTCCAGTGATAAACCAACCAGGAGCTCGATTACACCCAACTTCTCCCCTCTGTGCCCTCAACCTGATGTTAATTTTGAGCCAGCAAACACCGCCAGCGTGGCTAATTGGAATTGGAAAATTCTAAAACTCGCTTTTCTTATTAAAAAAAAAATCTTTTCTAAGGCTTGTCCTGATGATTATTCATTTCTAAAGAACCCTCCCAAGGCTGACCCAGGTGCAGCAGCTCTGGGATCCCTCCAGGCCTGCTCAGCTGGATTTTTGGTGTGACATCCACGTGGACATTCCCTTTTAATCCTGGTGCTGCTGCTGTTGTTTTTCCCCGTGTTTCTTGACTCACTGATGTCTGTTGTTTGCACAGGTCACCTTCCTCCAAGCCCCAGTCCGGTTACCTTATCAGGTTGGTATGGAATGGGATAAATTTGGGCTGCAGGGCTGGATCAGGAGCAACAAGTGTGAAAAACAGTCCTCTCTGGTGGGTTCTGTTAGCTGGGAACACAATGCTCAGGGAGGGCCTTGCTGAAGAGACAGTCCTGTTGTTTAACAGGTAGTTTGGTCTTGGTTCCAAACATTTTCCAGCCAAAAAATTGAAGCTGTCCCTTCCCTCCCCAGGGGGGTGTTCACCAGGACCATCGACAAGACCTCGGCCGTGCCAGATTCCTCCTCTCCTAACCAAGCACAGAAAAAGTACGTGTGCGTCTTCTTCTCCAGGAAAAGGAGCTTTTAAACACTTGGAACACGTTTTTGGTCATCCTCTCGCTTTGTCCAGTGCTTGGGGGCTCCCAGAGCTCCACTAAATCCCTATGGAATGCTGGTGTCAAACTCCGTGTGTTCCTCGTCGGAGCTCGGGGTGGCTGCGAAAGGACTCGTGGGTTTGGGTTTAGTTTGGCAAAGGGTTTGGAGTGAGGAACGAAGCCCCAGGAATCCTTGCAAAGCTGGAACGCTTGATGTCGATGTTTTTAATGGGGTTTGTTTGTTGGGGATTATTTTGAAACCTGTTTTGTGCAAGGCTCTAACTTTTGATCCTGAGGAGTCAGATCTAAGTGTGGCTCTGATCTGAGCCCAGAGGAGCTGTGGCTGCCCCACCCCTGCAAGTGTCCAGGTTGGACAGGGCTTGGAGCAACCTGGGAGAGTGGAAGGTGTCCCTGCCCATGGCAGGGGGTGGAGCTGGAAGATCTTTAAGGTCCTTCCAACCCAAACCATCCCATGGTTGTGTGATTCTAGAAATGCTTTGTTTCATCTCAAGCCAAATCTTTTGTAACCCCATTTTTCCCCCTGGTTTTGATTCTTCTGGGGACAAGGATGATGCCACAAGGTCCTGGGGTGGAATTCCCCCCATCCCACAGCAGGATATGCCCACACCAGCTCACAGTATCCCTGGGGAATCAAAGCAGACCTCAAAACCCATCCTAAACCCTAAAAAGAAAGCAAATGCTGCTCTTCAATTCAACAGCATTTAATGAGGGTGGCTCTCTGGGGTGACCCTGTTTTCCTCCACCCTGTGAAGCTCCCCTGGGGAAGGGTCACATTAACAGGTGTGATTTGTGCCTCCTGCAGCAATTCCATGAAGGGACAGAGCCCGGGCCGGTCCCCCTCTGGATACAGGATGACCACTGAGGACTACAAGAAACTGTGAGTGTGCAGAGGGAGCAGCTCCCTGTCCCTGCTCAGTGCCAAGGCCACCTGCACAGGGATGCCCAGGAAGCCTCCAGAGCTCCCACTGGAAAGAAGTGGCTCCCAGGGCCTCCGTGGCCATCAAGTGTTCCTTGAACTGGCCTTCGCATCGAGGGAGTTTTATCCCAAGGCACAGGCTGGAGGATGCAGCCTGGGAACTTGGTTTGGAGCATTGCTGGACTTCCTGAAAGCTGGAGAAAGGAGGAGCCCTGTGGCAGGGCAGCAGTGCTGGAATGTGGCTCTGCTCTGGAGTGGGGCTGGAGGAGGGAAACAAAACCCTACAGGGATGTGTGCACCCCAATGCACATGGAAAATACAAGTGTTTTCCAGGATCTGAACCATTTCCACATGTCCATGGATTCAGCTGTGTTTGGCTTGTGCCCCTTACCCTGGCTCTCCCCTTCCCTCTCTGTTGCAGAGCTCCTTATAATGTCAGGCAAAAATCTGTGGATGGGGGTGAGGAGGACGTGCCTTTTTCTCCGGATGAACACAAAAAGAGGTGAGTCCTGGAGGTCCCTCCGTGTTCCTGCAGGGACAGGGACAAGTGGCCTCTCTCCAGCTGGGCTGGTCATTCCTGGGAATGACATGGATGAGCCATTAGGGCTGTTTTGCAATAAAATAGTAACATTAATAATAATAATAATAATAATAATAATAATAATAATAAGCAGATATTTTTGCTCAGAGCCCAACTCTGCCCACGGGCCACTGCCCTCCCAACAAAATGTAATTAAAAGCCTGACATGATCCAACCTGACAGCACAGCCCAATTAACTGGGCAGCTGGGAAGGGCTGTGGAATCCATGGGCTGCCTCGTGTTCCAGTGAGAAGACAGAGATGTACAAACAGCCTGGCAGGAGGGGAGGAGCCCAACTCCCTCCCCCGGGGTCGGGATCACTGAGGGATGGAATCCAAGGCCACATCCCGGCAGGTCTGTCTCGCTCATCTCAGGAGTAGAATCGTAAAATCAGCCCAGATTTGTTTGGGTTGGAAGGACCTTAAAACCCATCCAGTCCCACCCCTGCCATGGACAGGGACACCTTCCACTAGCCCAGGTTGCTCCAAGCCCCGTCCAGCCTGGGCTTGGACACTTCCAGGGATGAGGCAGCCACAACATGGACAAGAACGTGTCTGATTTCTCTTGTTGCTTCCAGCTGAGCCTCTGAAGCCCCTTTTTCCTCAGACACAAGCCTTGTACAGATGAAAACTTGGTAATTTGCCCCCTGGGGTCAAAGCACTAGAAGCCCTTTCACAGATTTGGTCTCTCCCTTGGTGCTCCTGGTGCCGTTGGGGTGAACATGGAGTGTGTCCTGTCTCCCATTTTTCTGTCCCGTGGTGTCCAATATCGCAAAAATCCAGGTCTGGGAAAAGACTGGAAAACTCTCTCTGCCCTCCTGCAAGAGGAAGTATTTGGCTTTCCCCCCTGCTGCTTTCCATCCACGTGGAAGTGCTGTGGTCCAGCAGGAATGATACTGAAGGAGAAGTTAAGACACTGTCACTGCTCTGAGCTCTGGCTCAATGGAGACTGGAGATTTTTAGGGGTAATTTCTTCACAGAAAAAGGGGTCAGTGGTGGAGTCCCCATCCCTGGAAGTGTTCAAGAAACCCGTGGATGTGGCACTTGAGGATGTGGTTTAGAAGTGACCGTGGTGCTGGTTGATGGTCGGAAGGTCTTTTCCGACCTTGACGATTCCACGGTTCTCTTGATTTCTGCTCCCCAGAGTGTGGGAGCTCTGTCAGGGTCAGCACCAGCCTCCTCTGGGTTGTTCCTGGGCTCCCCAGCCAGCAGCCAGGGTGAGGATGGGCAGGATGTGACCCTGTCCCTCCCCCCTTGCAGGACTGAGGCTGCCAACAGTGTCCTGCGGCGCTCGGCCGGCCGGGAACGCGCCTACGTCCTGTCGGCGGCCAAGAAGAGCAACGGGTGAGTCTCCAGTGTCCAGGGTGGGGCAGGAGCTGGGGAGGGGCTGTTGGAGGTGTCTCACAGGAATGGTGGCTGGTCCCAAGGCTCTGAAGCTGAAGAGAACCGTGGTAATGGTGAAGGTGCAGCTGCCAAGGATGTGCCGCGGAGATGCTCCAAGGGCTGCTCTGGAGCCAGGCTGGGAGAGCTGGGGGGGTTCACCTGGAGAAGAGAAGGCTCCAGGGAGACCTGAGAGCCCCTTGCAGGGTCTAAAGGGGCTCCAGGAGAGCTGGAGAGGGACTGGGGACAAGGGATGGAGGGACAGGACAAGGGGAAATGGCTTCCCACTGCCAGAGGGTTAGATGGGATACTGGGAAGGAATTGTTGGTTGTGAGGGTGGGGAGGTGCTGGAATGGATTTCCCAGAGAAGCTGTTGGCTGCCCCTGGATCCCTGGAAGTGTCCAAGGCCAGGTTGGAGGGGGCTTGGAGCAACCTGGGATAGTGGAAGGTGTCCCTGCCCATGGCAGAGGGTGGAACTGGATGAGCTTTAAGGTCCTCCCAACCCAAACCATTCCATGATCCTGTGATATCTGCAGCTTTCTGCAGAACTGGGGAAATCCTCCAAGTCTTCCTCACTGAGAGGGATGAAACTTCAGGAAAAGGAAAACCACGAGAGCCCTGCAATCAGGAGTCCAATTTTCAGCCTCAGCTCTTAAACTGCTCTCTCCAATCTCGTTGAGTGCATGAGAAAAATCAGCACAAACATAAACTGCCTCCAACATGAAGCAGCTCTTTGTGACAGTCTGTGTTTGGACAAGAGCTGCATTTACAAGATCCTGATCTCAGTTGCAGCTTCAAAATAGTTCTGTGGGGAAAAAAGAACCCCCCGTGTGGGTTCACAGGAGGGAAGAACCTCACAGGAGCGCGAAGGATGTGTGGGAGCTCTTGGTGCCCAAGGCTCTGCTGTCCATTGTCCATCTCTTCCCTGGGAGGGGAAAAAAAGGGAATTTTCAAGGTCTCTGCTCTCCCAGGAGCTGTGATGGGGTGTTTGGTTTTTTTTTTTTGCGGGCTGCTTTCACTAGAAATGCTTTTCCTCTTGACATAACTCTGGATGACACAACGAGGCACCGGGAGGGAGGTGCAGCAGGAGCAGGGAGGGGATGTGCCAGCAGCACTCAACGGTGCCCAGGGTGGGAGAAGTGCTTGGATAGGATGTGTGAGGACATGGAAAGCACTTGGACAGGATATATAAGGACTTTGAGGGTGTTTTTTCCCTGGCTGCTGGTTCCTCTGGAGCACTGGGCAGTGTGTGCTGTGGGAAGAGCCAGGCCTGCCTGCTGGGAGAACAACAATTAAAAGAATTTTATCAATTTGCAATTAAAAAGGCCCTTTGGGGAAGCTTCTTTCCTTCCCAGCTGCTTTTTCTGCTCATATATTTGCATTTGTATTATTTGATTTGGAATTTGTCCCCCCTGGGCACTGCCAGCTCTGCCCAAAGGGGGTGACAGGACCCTGTACCCCCTGGGGCAGTCAGGGATTTTGGGGGCTCTGCCCCTGCCCAAGGTGTGTTTTTTCCCTCCAAACTTCTAACTGTTGCCTCAATCCTTCCTTCACAGCAGCCCAACACAGGAATTCCCACCCTTGTTTGCCAAGAGGTAGGTCATGGAGCCTCGGGAAGCACTGCTGGGGTGGGTTCTGTGGAAATTCCAGGTTGCTGTTAAATGCTGGGATAGCAGATCCCAGGATTTTCAAAGCAGAGGAAGGACAATTCCCTTAAAAAGGATGCTTGGGGTTGGATCACACTGGGATTTTTTTGAGATAAATACTGGGAAAACAACACTGATGGTGCTTTGGGTTATGCACAACGTGAGACACGGAGAGACTTTCTGCTTCCAGGGAATCTGACCCTGGCCAGCCAGGGAATGCTCTTCAGGCATTCCACTTCTAAAGCTGTCAGTGGGGTAGGGAAACGTCTCTCTCTGGAATTCAAGCACTCAGATGGTGCTGGTTGTAAAATTGTCTCTCACCTGGCTCCGTTCAGCTCAGGAGGAGGAGCAGGAACAACCTGCCCGGGGGGGAAACAGGGCAAACACAGCTCCAGGGAAAACAGGACCACACCTCCTGGGTTAGCTGGGGAAAATAGGAAACAACGTGATATTTGTCTCTCTTTTTCCCCGTGGAAAGAATTGAGATAGAAGAGGAGGAAGGGCAGCAGAGGAGGAGTCCAACCGTGCCGGGTTCCCAACGGTTTGCACCGGATGACAGCAGGTATTTGCCAGCCTGGAGCAGGGTGGCACTGGGATGCCAGGGCACACTGGTTTGGGGATAAGTGCATTTATCTGCAAGGCAGCAGCTCCCTGAGCACAGCCAGAGATGGAAGGTTTGCAAAGGAGGCTTCCCGGAGAAGCTGTGGCTGCCCCATCCCTGGGAGTGTCCAAGGCCAGGTTGGACGGGGCTTGGAGCAGCCTGGGCTGGTGGAAGGTGTCCCTGCCCATGGCAGGGGGTGGGATGAGGTGTTTAAGGTCTCCATCAACCCAAAGCATTCTGTCATTCCATGATTCTGAAATCCTGACTGTCCTTTCCTGAGGAAAGAATCCGAAGGGAACAGTGACCTCAGCTCTCCCGGGGAAACAAAGGGGCAGCCAAAGGGACAGGGCAGTGTCACCAAGTGCCAAGTGACAGCCCTGGGGGTGGCAAACGGCCTTGAATGTCAACTTTAACATTTCACTGCAACATTAAGGCCTCTCAGGGAGCTGAAGGGGCAGAACCTGGCACTGAACCCCTCCTGATCTCCCTCCACAGCCCCCTCAGTCCTGTCTCCACCAGGAATGAGCCTGGTGGTGCTTGAGGGACGACAATCCCAGGAGGAGTCAGAGCAACCCTCGCCCAGCCCTGAGACAGCAAAGGTTTTCTCTTCCTGCCCAGCTTGGCTGGGTGAACTGCCCCCCTCACCCCCATCCCAAATATTCCATATCCTGGTATTCCCACCCCCTGAGCCAGCTCTGCTTTCTTAGGCCTGAGATTTGGTTATTCTGCTGTGATGGGTGTGAGCAGAGGGGGGTGGGAGCTTCATTGTCTTTAAACTGATTTTGAGGGCAGGTGTTGGCCCCAGTCCCTCTCCCAGGGACAACCTGGAATGTTCCTGCCATGGAATGACAGACCTCCTCAGCCCACACTGGGCAGGAGCAGCTGGCACAGGGTGTGGGGCTGAGGGAGATGCAGGAAGGTTTGGCTGAACCGGGAATATTTGCCCTGGGAGGGAGAATCCTCCTCTGTTTTCAGGCAGAGCCGTTTCATTTGGGATTCAGCTCCGTGTCCCTGCTCTGAGGGGTGGCTGGATGCCAGGCAGGGCATTATCAGCTTCTCTGCCACTTTGGGCCTTCGTGGGCCCAGCAGGGAGCCCAACAAATGGGGCCTTTCAGCCCCAGCCGCTTTATTTTCGGGATGAAGGAGCTGCCTCGGGAATTCCGGCGCTGATTTCGTGCCGTTGTGGGGCAGGTTTGAGGCAGGGCTGGGGAGCAGTTTCCCTCCTTCCCCCACATCACTCAACTCTGGGGAATTTTGAGCTTTTTTGGGGGAGTTTGTTGTGCAAATTCACAGCAAATGCTGGGCATAGGAAGAGCTGCAGCTTTGGTAAATGGGAAAAATCACTTTGTAAAGCGGGGTCTTTCAGCAGAAAGGCAGGTGTGAGTCCAGCAGTGCCACGGGGCGCAGGGACACCCCCGGGAGGCCTTGCCCAGGGAGAGACAAGAGCTGTGGGGCAGAAAGCAGGACCCCCACGGGAAAAAAAGCTCCTAAAAATCCCTTGTCTTTAATGCTTTGTCGTTTGGGTTTTTTGTCAGTGCTAACAGGGTAAGAAAAACCACCCCTGGATCTTCCTGGGATGAGCCAAAGGCAGCAGCAGCCTCTCCCTCCAGGTAAGTGCAGCACAGCCGGGATATCTGGGATAATTTTGGGGGCTGTAGGTTGGAGAGATCCCCTCAGGGAGGGGGAATGACCCAAATCTGTCAGCCTTGAACAGAGGAGACCTTTCCCTTGATGCAGAGAGCTGTGTTAAAAAGGTTTTATGTCTAAAATCCATGTCATGTCCTCCAAGGATTTCGCAACATCCTGAGCGAAAAGCTCAGGATGTGAAAGGTAAAACCCCAAACACAGAATCATGGAATGGTTTGGGTTGGAATGGACCTTAAAGCTCATCTTGTTCCACCTTCCACTACCCCAGGTTGCTCCAAGCCCCATCCAGCTGAACTCTTTCTTGCCAGAACAGGTGTAGGGGAATAATTTTCTGTTGTTTTCCATTTTTTTTTTGTCTGAATCCATGAATATGGTATAAAAAACGGTGAAATGGTTTTCACTGCAAACATGGTGAAGTGGTTTTTGCTGCTTCCCTGCTTCTGGGTGTGTTTATTGGGGTGTCACTGCAGGAGGTGGATGTTCCTGGCAAATAGGAGCAGTTTCAATTTAAAAGTTTTGATAAGATGACTCTGTAAATGAGTGGGTTGAAAACAGCGATGATTCATTTCCACTTTCTCCGTTCCCAAAAGGGACTCTTCAAGCAGGGCAGCTTTGGGCAGCTGCAGTGGGAGCTGGTTGGATGAGGAGTGACAGCCTCGTTCTTTCCCTTCTCTTGCAGCCCCACAACAGACAGCGGGAGCCAAACATCCACATCCCCGAGGGAAACTTCAGGGAGAAGCTCCACTTCTGCTGGAATCAGGTGGGTCTCTTGGCCCCCTCAGGCTCCCCAGGAAAAAGGGACATTTTGCTCTGCTTGGGGAGGGGTTTTCCTGGAGACACATCCAGGACACAGCAAGAACTCAGCAGAGGGAACTGAGGAGAGGAGCACTTCCCAAAAGCATCGGCAATCCGGGAGGAAACATTCCCAGATGGACCTCCCGCAGCTTGGACATCCCCTGGTTCTCTGTGCAGAGGAAATGAGCCCAAACCTGCAGCTCTTTGAACCTGCTCCTGTTTGACCCCAATCCCTGCCCTGTTGGCAGCACAATCCCAACAAACACCCCCCGTGCAGCCCCTGTGCCCCGCGCTGCCCCTCAGCCCCCTCCCTCACGCTTCCTGCTGTTCTCCCTGCAGGAATGGTGAGGACAGCCAGGCCCTGAACGGGAAATCCTCCTGGGAGGCTGTGACACAGCATGGGGACGGGTAAGGAGTGGAGAGGGGCTGCTCTGTGCTGCTCAACACAAGCTTTTTGCTCAGGAACAGCATCCACCTGCTCCTGGTGTCCCACGGACGGGATCCCTCCAGCCTGGGCTGCATTCCAAGAGCATCATCTGCTGGCTGAGCTGCAGCTTGTCGGTTTTCTCCACCCTTCCTTCCCCTCCCTGCAGGATCCTGCTCTCTGCCTCAGTCCCTGAACACTCTTGTTCATGCATTTAATTTTATTTTCCTGCTCCAGTTGCCATTCCCTGGGGAGTTTTTCCACCTGCAAGGGATGTGTTGACCCTCAGTGGCCGGTGGCTCCTGCTGATGTGGGTTCTGGGCCTCTGTGGGAAATCTGGAGGGGGTGGGGAAGTGTGGAAAGCTCTGTTGTGTGGAGGAAAACCTGAGGAAAAAAGGAACTGATTGGGAATTTAAAGGCTAAAGGAGCTTCCTAAAGGACGGGTGACACAGGGAATTCGAAGCTGAGGGCGGGGAAGGTTCTGGGATCTGCCTCTCCTTGGTCCTGTGGAATGCACACAGGAGAATTCCAGAGGGGCTGTTGATTGTTGACTCCCTATCCCTGGAAGTGTCCAAGGACCAGGTTGGACAAGGCTTGGAGCAACCTGGTCTAGTGGGAGGTGTCCCTGCCCATGGCAGGGGTGGAACAGGATGGGCTTTAAGGTCCCTCCCAGCCCAACCCAGTCTGGGATTCTGTGGTTTCTAAAATATCCCCCACGTTGGCAGGGCTCCCTTTGTTCCCAGGGTGAGCCCTCTGGATTTGGGGCTGCTCTAGACTGGGACAGGCAGAGCTGCCCCCGTGGCCTCCCCTGTTGTGCTCCAGGAGCTGTGGGAGGCTGGGGGTCACCACAGGGCTTTGTGGGGCACACACAGTTCACTGCTGCTCTCTCTGCACCCCCAGCAGTGACACTCAGGCTGGAAATGTCCCCAGAGTGCCACCCCAGGCTGGAGCAAAGTCTGGAGTGCTGGAGGAAAGGCAGAGGCTGGGCTGTGGTGGGCACTGAGCTGAGAGCCACGGCCGTGTCCCCGCGTGTCCCTGCAGGAGCAGCCGGAATACAAGGCCCCCTTTGTGCCTGCCTGGGGTCACCGGGGGCACAGAGCTGCTCCTAATTGGGAGCCAGGCTCCCAGGGGAATTCAGGGATGCCTCGTGACTGAAACCACCTAAAACTGCCAAGGGAGGAATTGGCAGGGAGGGGAGGACATGGACACACAGCGTGACAGGGCTGGAGAGGGAAAGGTGGGAATAGGGTTGGGCTGGAGGAGCCCTGGAGAAGAGAAGGCTCCAGGGAGAGCTGAGAGCCCCTTGCAGGGTCTAAAGGGGCTCCAGGAGAGCTGGAGAGGGACTGGGGACAAGGGATGTAGGGACAGGACACAGGGAATGGCTTCTCACTGCCAGAGGGTTAGATGGGATATTGGGAAGGAATTGTTGGTTGTGAGGGTGGGGAGGTGCTGGAATGGACTTCCCAGAGAAGCTGTGGCTGCCCCATCCCTGGAAATGTCCAAGGCCAGGTTGGAGGGGGATTGGAGCACCCTGAGCTAGTGGAAGGTGTCCCTGCCCATGGCAGGGGGTGGAACTGGATGAGCTTTAAGGTCCTTCCAACCCAAACCATTCCATGATCCATAAGTTGCAGTCAGGCCCTCTGTGCTCGGATGGTTGACCCTCCTATCCTGATATAGAGATTTAGCCCCATTTTGGGCTCCTCCCAACTAAATATGAGCACATTACTGTGGAATGATCCAACAGAAATGCTGACAGGTCACGTTTTCACTGGAGTTTTCCTTCTTCTAGCGACAAAGCTCTGAAGGAAAAGCCTGAGCCCTTCCCATGGGATGAGGCCCCCAGAGCCACCGTGGCTTCCACGAATGGAAGGTAAAGTCCTTCCATCTCCTCCTGAGATTCCTTTAGTGGGTGTTGTGCAAATCAGCAACTGCTGCTCTGGAGCTGTCTGGAATCTCTGGATATTTGCTGGTGGAAAAACACATTCCACGTGGGCTTTGCAGAACTGCAGCAGTTTCTCTAAATTTCATTTAAGGGAGGGAATAAAGAAAACACTACCCACTTCAATCAAATTGTGGGATATTTTGTTTGTTTTATTTTTGATGATACAAAAAAAATCCAGGTTTATTCCCAGTTGTGGAATGGATTTTATTTCTGGTTTCAGCAGTACAGAGAGGTTCACACTCAATGTCCCTCTCAGCCTCCAATTCCACCTCTTTATTTACTTTTGCAACAGTTACTAAATTTGTACTTCCCATGCATTGAATTCCCCAGAGTTTCTTGCCGTTTTCCCTGTGCACGGGGACATCCTTGGGAAGTTTAGGGATTCCCTCTTACGAAATGCATGGGAAAATCACTGTACAACATTCCCCAAAGCTGCTTCCTGAAGTTGTGTCTCTCCTTTGCAGCTTCCCTGAGCACACAGAGGCCAACAATGGGTTTTACCCACCCAAGTAAGTGCCAAATAAATGTAAAATTCATTTTTTCTCCTTGATTTTAGAGCGAGGAGGGTCTTCTCCTGACCCAGCACTGACAAATGTCAGGGCACTAAGGAGGGGTGGGCCTGACCCACCCCCTCAAATCAGACTGAGATCCTCCAGCTGCTTTCCTGACACGGGGATGGGTTGGTTGGATTTATGGCTCAGCCTTTCAGGAAATTCCCTGAGCTGAGCAGGAAGAAAAGATGTTACATTGGAGACAGGAAAATCTCCTGCTTGGTATTTTTGCTTCTTGCTCTGTTCTCCAACTTGCTGAGCTTCCTGTTGGGACCCACCAATCTCCCCCTGTTCCAGGTCCAGCTCCGATTCCAGGGACAGACCTGGGGATGCTGCGGATGAGCTGCTCCATCACTACGAGCCCTCTCCTGCCCTGGATGTTGGAAGGTCTGACCCTGCACCATCAGGGCTTGGGGATGGCACTGGATCTGCTCCCAGAGGGAAGCTGGGGTGGGAATAAATCACTTGTCCAGAGTAGAGTTGGAAGCAGAATCCACACTGGGCAGCAAAGAAACTGGAAATGGGAAATCCCGTGTGGATAAACAGGGGGAACAGAGTCTTTCTGTTCACTGTTACGTGACTTCTTCCCGGAGAAGCAGCCTGGGAATTCTGGAAGGATTCCTTCCTGGGAAGGGCTGTCAGGCATTGGAACTGGGCCTTTCTGGTTGGCAGGTCTGTCCTGGGGTACGAGGAGAGGAGCAGCTCCACCAGTCCTGAGGGCCCAGCACAGCTCCAGCCCCACTGGAACAAGTAAGGACTGGGATGACTGGGGTGTTTGCTCTTCTGGGATGTTGGGAACAGCTCTGGCCTGATGGCTCCTGTCCTGGGAATGGGTGTCTGCCCACCCACCCCAGCAGGGATTTTCTCCACTGCCTTAATCATGGATCATTATTTTAGGTTTTCAGGCTCAACCAACCTCACTGAGAGGGGCCAAGGACCTGCTGGCCATGGTGCCCACCCAGAGCTGCCCAGGGCACAGGAACCCACGGCCCATGAGCCCGGGGTGGTCGGGTAAGGAGTTGGATAATTCCCCCTGCCTTTTCCTGGAGGATGAGGGTTCATTCCTTGCGTGTCTTCCCCCACATACACACGCTCATAAAATCCTCTCCCAGGCTCCTCTTTTTAAAATCTTCTCCCAGACTCCTCTTTTCGTGGAATCATGGAATTGTTATAGTTGGAAAAAACCTCCAAGGTCACCAAGTCCAACCATCAGGCAGCACCACCACCGTGGTCACCGACCCGTGGCCTCAAGTGCCACATCCACCCATTTTCTGAGCATTCCCAGGGATGGGGACTCCACCACTGCCCTGGGCAACCTGTTCCAGTGCTTTACAACCCTTTCCACGAAGAAATTTTCCCTGATATCCAACCTAAACCTCCACTTGTGCAACGTGGGGACATTTTTGTGCCTGATTCTAGCGCTGCTTCTACTGGCTGAACCTTTTGTCGGGGTTTTATAGGAAAACCTGGGAGAAAAGGTCCTCCTTAGCTGAAGCCATCGAACCCTGTCCAGCTGGACTGCCAGGATTTGCTGCCTAGACCTTAAATTTGGGAGCAGAGCCTGTCTCTAGGGTCATGTGCCAACAGAAGCAATAAAATTTGGCATGGGGTGACACGTCTGTGGTAACCCTGGGTCTCGTTCTGAACTTCCTCAGGCAGGGCTGGGTGTCCAAATGGAAGGACTTCGGGGATTTCTTTGCTTTTGTCCATGTTTTCCCCCTAAATGTGAAAGAGTTGAGGCTTTTGGTCAAATTGGGCTTCCTCACATGTACCTCAGTGAGCAACTTCTTCACATGGAGGTGTAAAGCAGAGCGTTCCTCTCCCCAGGTCCCAGGACAGCACTGGTGGGAGCAGGGACATGGAAAAGGGGATGCCATTCCATGTGCAGAGTGAAGAATTCATGGAAAGAAGGCAAGAGAAAGGCTGGGATTTGCTTTTCCTGACGGGAGAACACAGGGGATTTGCTGCAGGGGGTTCTGGAGGAGGGACTGAGGGTGCTGGGGTTGGGGTTGGGAGTCCCCACGCTGGGAGGAGGGAGCTGAGGACCCAAACAAGGCCATCTCACGCCCTGAGCAGGCTGAAACAGAACACAGGACTGCTGGATAACCCATAATAGTCGCAACTGAACTCCCAGAATTGAGGTGTCAGGTTTGGGAAGGGTAAACAGGGAACTGAAGCCCATCAGGAGCTTTATTTCTCTTTCCTTTTAGCCCTGTTTTTTAACAGGTCTGGATTTTCCCTCTGTCTTGTATCATCTGAGGATGTGATTTCATGGTGGACATGGTGGTGGGGCTGAGTTGAGGGTTGGACTTGATGATCTTGGAGGGCTTTTCCAGCCTGAACTTCCATGATTCCATCTGGCACATTCCCATGAAGGGATATCGTATTTTTCTTGAGGCTGCATCTACATCCCACAGGAATTCTGGGCACAGTGGTGCTTCTGCAGACTCTAGAGGGTCTCCTGTCTTGGCAGGTCCAGCTCTGGACCTGGAGGAAGCAGCATCCCTGCTCCAGAGACCCCACATGCCAACGAGTCCGAGCCACGCCGGGACAGGTGGGGAGTCAGGGAACCAGGATAGTGCCTCCCACTTCTCCTGCTGCCCTGTCCAAAGGCATCACAAATGCTCATTTCTTGGCTTAGTGAATTCCCAAACCAACATAAACTGCCAGGGCCACCTTTCCTCCCTCGTGCCAGACCCTCAGCACTGCAGGGATTTCACACAGGAGTTGTTGCAGCTGAACATCACAAGGATGTGGAGCTGCTGGAGAGAGTCCAGAGGAGGCCACGGAGATGCTCCAAGGGCTGGAGCCCCTCTGCTCTGGAGCCAGGCTGGGAGAGCTGGGGGGGTTCCCTGGAGAAGAGAAGGCTCCAGGGAGACCTGAGAGCCCCTTGCAGGGCCTAAAGGGGCTCCAGGAGAGCTGGAGAGGGACTGGGGACAAGGGATGGAGGGACAGCACAAGAGGGAATGGCTTCCCACTGCCAGAGGGTTAGATGGGATATTGGGAAGGAATTCCTAGCTGTGAGGGTGGGGAGGCCCTGGCACAGCTTGCCCAGAGAAGCTGTGGCTGCTCCATCCCTGGAAGTTTCCAAGGCCAGGTTGGAGCAACTTGGGCTAGTGGAAGGTGTCCTGCCCACGGCAGGGGGTGGCACTGGATGATCTTTGAGGTCCCTTCCAGCACAAACCACTCTGGGATTTTAGGATTCTATAACCACAGTGTCCCTGCATTTCTTCCCTCGAGGGACAGGCTCAGACACAGGTTCTGGAGCTGATACAGCTCTTTTCTTTCCCCCCAGGGTCACTGCGGCCCACGAGGATCAAACCATCCCCACCACAGATGGTCCCCAGGACTGGAGGCACAGTGAGCCTGGCCCAGGGGCAGCCAGGTACAGTGGGAATATCCCTTTGGTTCTGCCATCAGTGGCTCCCAAACCATCATCCTTTGCCATTCCTGCTTCTTGACACACACCTGGCTGAAGTCCTGGCCCCAGTAAATGTGCCTAGTCCAATGGTATTCACCAAAGGAATATGGGAAGGAATTGTTGGCTGTGAGGGTGGGGAGGCCCTGGCACAGGTTGCCCAGAGAAGCTCTGGTTGCCTCATCCCTGGAAGTGTCCAAGGCCAGGCTGGAGCAACCTGGGCTAGTGGAAGGTGTCCCTGGTGGAATGGGATGAGCTTTAAAGTCCCTCCCAACCCAAACAATTTTGGGATTCTCTGTTTCTATTAACAAAATCGTGTCCCAGGTTCTCCTTCTTGCCTGTAGGAAGAGGCAGGATCCAGCCTTGGCAAACCCTGAGCCCCTGTGCGAGGGGGGCAGACCACCCACAGTCATTGGCTTTACGGTCAAATTGGTTTTAATTCTTCAGCAGGTCTGACTTCAGCTCCAGAGAGAGTGTTCTCAGTGCCCATGAGAGCCAGCACCCTGTGCCCCTGTACCAGGACCCCCAGCCCTTCTTTGGGACAGCTCCCAGCCACAGGATCCCGGCCTACGTGGACAGCCAAGTGTTCAGCACCAGGAGGTGAGAGTTTGGGCACGGAGGGTTTGGGTATGGAAGGTTTGGGCATGGAGGGTTTCAGATGCAGAGACAGAGAAAGATGCTGGCACAGAATGATCTGACAGAAATTCTGCTCCGGGTTGTACAGTCAAGGAGTGAGAACAAGATTTTGTTCCCAGAGGGAACAACAGTATTGAATCATCATGGATTCGGGCCTGTCACAGGATTGTGCACCTGGGACAAAGTACAACGTGAGGAACTTCGGGGAAGACATTTCTACCTCACCAGCACAGCTCTAGGCCTTGGAATTTAAATCCTCCTGGGAGCCTTGAGATCCTCCTCAACTCAGCTGGGAGGGTTGGAGACGACATTTCACAGAATCAGGGAATCATGGAATGGTTTGGGCTGGAAACCTTAAAGCCCATCCAGTTCCACCCCCTGCCATGGCAGGGACACCTTCCACTATCCCAGGTTGCTCCAAGCCCTGTCCAGCCTGGCCTTGGACACTTCCAGGGATGGGGCAGCCACAGCTTCTCTGGGCAACCTGTGCCAGGGCCTCCCCACCCTCACAGGGAAGAATTCCTTCCCAATATCCCACCTAACCCTGCCCTCCCATGACCATCAGCCATGGGCTCATTTTCCCTGTGGAAAGAGCCTGAGCTGTGCCCATGGATTAAAGCCATTCTTCTAAGGATTTCTGGCTTGGAAAAGGGAAAATGGGCAGGGCTGGCAGCATGTGGAGGGGGTGCAGTGGGAAGGAAACAATCTCAGATATATCCTTTGGATATGTCCCAGTGTCCCAGTGCTCAGGGGTTGGGTTTGGAGGTTGCTCTCCTGGGCGTGGAATGTGGGGTGTGGAACACACACGGGGGGAATGCACCATGGAATCACGGAATCCCTGCGGTTGGAAAAGACCTCTGAGATCATGGACAGCCAACCCAGCTCCCCCATCGTGGTCACCACCAAGCCATGTCCCCAAGTGCCACATCCATGTGTTTTTGAGCGCTTCCAGGGACAGGGACTCCACCCTTGCCCTGGACAGCTGGGCCAGGGCTGGGCAGTGGCAGAGCCGTGGTGGGCACTGCTGAGTGGGGATTCCAGGGACTGGCAGCAGGATGGGCCAGCTGGGCAGCAGGGCACACGTGCAGGGGGTGCAGTGGGAAGGAAACAATCTTGGATATATCCGTTGGATACGTCCCAGTGCTCAGGGGTTGGGTTTGGGGGGTCCTCTCCTGGGCATGGAATGTGGGGTGTGGCAGATGTGGAACACACATGGGGGGAATGCACCATGGAATCCCTGAGGATGGAAAAGACCTCTGAGAGCATCAAGAACCAGCAGACAGAGCCACGGTGAGCACTGCTGGGTGGGGATTCCAGAGACTACAACGTGCTCAGGGCTTTGTTTTTCCTCGCCAGGCCCACCCTGGATCCTGAAGGGAGAGTTTCCGACGGGAGCAGCCGATCCGATGGTGCCAGGGGGCACGGGGAGTTCACCCCCCCGGCTGGGCGGTGAGTCAGGGGGGCATCCAAACCTTTTAAACCCCAAACCACCCCACTGCTCCATTTGTTCATCCACTGGGATGTCCCGATTCCCTGAGCGGGTGATGCCTGTGGAGCGTGGGGGAGTTTGGGGCCCGGCAGGGACATCCAGCCAAGATTCCCAGCACTTGTGAGGATCCCTCACGTGCACAGGATCAGAGCCTGAGGCTGCACCGCTTCCTTCCCATAGCCATGACTCCCTTCCCAGAGATCCCAGCATGTCCATGGCCCAGAGAAGCCACAGGGTGCCGTTCTACATGGACAGCCTGAACTACAACAGCACCAGGTAAATGGGCAGTTGTGGTGGTTGTGAGGGAAACTTCCATGAAACTTGGGGAACAGAAGCCAGGAAGCAAAGCCAAGAGCTGAGAGAGAAATGGTTTCCAGGGAGTGGAAACCATTCCAGAGGCACAGACCTACTCTTAAACCATTCCTAGCAAAAGCTGCCCAGCACGGGGTCTGGAATACATCCATCTCTGGTCTCTGGAGGTTTCCCACCGTGTGGGATGCCAGAGCAGGGGGGCAGGAGGATGGAGAGCTGGTCCCTGGCCAAGAACTGGCTTTTGCTACATGAAAAAAGAGCTCAAAGCAAAGAGAGACGTTGAGAGACAAGATCAGTGTCCCCAGAAAATCAATGATCAAACGACTGAACTGCTCCCAGAACAGGGCTGTTGGAAGGGCAGGAGTTATCCAGTATGGAATACCATTGCCCTGGGCTTCCTGCAGTCCCTCCTGGCAGTGCCAGCCCACCCACATGTATGGGGCCACCATGGGGCTGAGTGTTGGATCTGGACTGGGCACCATGTTGTGGGTGTGAAGAGGAGGCACAGGATCCCTGGATAGCCTTGGAATGGCTCCAGGAAAGAGCAGCCTCCTCCCTGCAAGGCAAACAGCCCAGGTCTCACAGCTGAGCCAATGGACCGAGCTGTTTTCTGCAGTTTTGCCACCTTTCCCCTTCTGCAGCTTTTCCAAGGACTGGGCTGGGGACAGTGGTGTTGGCTTTGGCCACCACGGCCCAGCTTCTCCTCTCCTGCTGCACATCCCATGCCATTTCCCTCCGGAGCTGCTCCCATTCTGGCTGCCTGACTCACTTGGAGCCTGTCCTTATTGGAAGATCTGGTTTGAGCATCTCTCCCATAGCCCTAAAAATGAGACTTTTCCAAACTCCATCTCCAGGGAAGCAGAAAAGGAGCTGGTTTGGTGCCAGTTAAGGGCTGTGATATCAACCTGCCCTCCCAGCAGCAGGGGTAGGTCCTCTCCTGCCAGCTTGGCTCCTGTGGTGGCTCACAGATTTTCCCTCTCCCACCAGGCTCCTCTCCAGTTCCAGTGAGAGGCTCTCCAGCCCCGGGTTCCATCCTGACTCCAGCGCTGCCGGGTAAAGAGCCGAGGGGGCACAGAGCCATCCTGGGGGTGGGGGCATCCCAGCCTTTGGCACCTGTGGCAGCAGGACCAGGGCAGTGCCCGTCCCTGTGCTGGCACTGCTGAGGCATCTCCAGTGCTGGGGCAGTTTTGGGCCCCTCACAAGAAGGACATGGAGGGGCTGGAGCGTGTGCAGGGAAGGGAACGGAGCTGGGAAGGGGCTGGAGCAGCAGGAGCAGCTGAGGGAGTTGGGGGGACTCAGCCTGGAGAAAAGGAGGCTCAGCAACTCCCTGACAGGAGGGGGGAGCTGGGGGGGGGCGGGCTCTGCTCCCAGGGAACAAGGGACAGGAGGAGAGGGAACAGCCTCAAGCTCCCAGGGGAGGTTTAGGTGGGATATTGGGAAAATTTCATCGTGAAAAGGTTGTCCAGCCCTGGCCCAGCTGCCAAGGGCAGGGGTGGAGTCCCCATCCCTTGGAAGTGTTCAGAAAATATGTGGATGTGGCCCCTGGGAACACAGGTCAGTGGTGACCATGGTGGTGCTGCTGGGCTGACGGTTGGACTTGGGGATCTTTTCCAACCTTAACAATCCTGGGATTCTATCTGAAGTTATTCAGTAGCTCAGACCCAGCTCCCTATCAATATTCCACATTAGAATTGGAGATGAAAGTGTCTTAAGGAAGGAATTCTTCCCTGTTAGGGCGGTGAGGTGCTGGAATGGATTTCCCAGAGCAGCTCTGGGTGCTCCATCCCTGGAAGTGTCCAAAGCCAGGTTAGGTGGGGCTTGGAGCAACCTGGGCAAGTGGAAGGTGTCCCTGCCCATGGGGTGGAACAAGATGAGTTTTAAGGTCCTTTTAGATGATCTTCTCCAACCCAAACCATTCTGGGATTCATGTTTCTATGACACAGAAAATGTCTTTTCTCCGTTAAAAATAATTAAAAAAAGAAGAGCTTTTCTTTCCTCAGTTGTGCCAGGGCTTAGTTTGCCCGTGTGAGAAGAGAGGATTAATTGTAGCTTTTAGGCAGCAGTGAAAATGCCCCGTGGAGAAAGAGCCTGATTAGTTCGTGTGGTGGTTGCAGGGAGGGCTGGGGGCACAGGGCTCAGCCTGGGCACAGCTGCACACACAGGGGGCATGGAATTCCGAAACCGGGAGTGGGGAGAGGCGGGGATATGAATATGCAAAGGAGCAAAACCATCCCCAGACAAACCAGCGCTGGCTGAAAACACCGGGGATATTCCAGAGGCGGAGCAGCGCCGGGAAGCAGCGCTGTGCCAGTCGGGTTTGGTGCCCGCGGGCAGAACCGCGAGCTCTCTCCGCGCTCATTGAGCGCATAATCCTGACACGAGCTGGGAAAGACTTATCCCTGCAAAACCGGCGGATAACTGGATGAAAGGGTTACATTATGCATCCCATTCTTCCTAATTAACTTGATTTGTTTTGGTGGGGTAATTAGAGGAGTGCATTAGGTGTTCTTTAGCAACAATCTCCGGGATTTATCCCAGGACAACAGCATCTCGTCCCGTGTCCCGGCACACACGCACGTGGTCTCTCATTAGCTCCACTCTTTTCTCATGCAAATGCTTCCCGTTCTGGTTCCTTAGGAGGGGGATCCTCTTTGTGAAGGAGTACGTGAACACCGGCGGGTTTCCAGCCTCCCCACGCTATGGAAGGTACGAGGAGTGGCCAGGGACACTCGTGTGTCACACACGTGTCACACACATGTGTCACACGCACGTGTGCACAGCCCGGCACGCGGCTTTGCCAGCTCACATCTCCCACCCGGCTCCAGGGGCTGGAGCACTCGGAGTTCCGGAGTTAATTAGCCCTGAGGGGATTATTGGGGAGCAGAGTTTTGCTGGGTGAGGACCCGTTGTGACATCTCATCCCTCTGTCCCACCGCTCCCAGGGGGCAGGGAAGCTCCCCTTTGGAGCGGGGTGGTCTCTGAGGTGGATGCAAACACCACCCTGCAGGTTTTTAGGCTGCGTATTTGGCCACCGTGAGGCTTCGCTGGGCACCTGAACACGTAAACAAACGATTGGAATTGGTGAGCAAAACGTGGAGGTTGGGGGTTCTCGCTCAAAAAAAAGTCATTTGTGAGTTTAAAAAAGTTAAATTAGGCCGTTTTCAAGCTTAAATCTTCAGTCTTTTGTGTTCTGCTCGAAGGTAACTGAGTGAAGCTGCTCCAGATTGGCACAGTGTGGCCCAGAGCAGAGTTTGGCCCGATGTAAATCATCCTTCCAGTGATGTGGCACCAGTTAACCCCAGTTTGATGCTTCCCCGCTGGCACTGAGCCTCCCTCAGCGCTGTGCTGGCATTCCTGGGGGAGCTGATTACAGCCTGGAAATCTCCAGCCTGTCCTGGAGCTCAGCAAAGCCGCTGTCAGCAGCCCAAGATAAGCCAAATATCCAGGAAAGCCAGGCAGGGAGGGAACACTCGGCTGGGTGAGACCAGGGATGTGCTCCCTGCCTTTTCCTGCATAATAGGGCAGGGTTTGGGACTTCAGTGAGCAATGAAAACAGGTCCTATTTCCAGATGGAAACATCCAGAGGAGTGTTGCTGGTGAGTGTTTTGGAGGCAGGATTTCACAGGTTTGCTGGTCCAGCCACCGGCGCAGGATTTTGCCAGTGGAAAATATGCTCCCCCTCCTTGTATCCCTGCTCTCAGCCCACCTAATCCTGCCTTTTCTGACATTTTAATGAGATAACCTGGCTGGTGGAGGGGTCTGATGGCTGGCAAGGGGTGGGAGCATGGGGTTGGGAATATACTGGAGAAGGGAGAGAGCAGAGGGAGCTTGCACTGCCCAAGTTTTTGGCTCTTCTCAGCCCCTTCCTGAGCTGCATTTCCCAGCTCCTGGAGTGGGACCCCCAGCACGGGCTGCCTGACCCTCTAACCAGCCCTGGAAAGGCATTTCCCTGATGGAAAGGGCAACACTAACTGATGGAGCAGGGAAAGAAACTGCTTCCTCCTGCTCTCCCCCTCCTCCAGGATGTTCCCAATGTCCCTTAGAGGTGCAGAGTTGTGATTAAAGGTGATTAAATGTCCTTCCTTGTGTCCTGTGCTGACCTGCTGGGAAGGAAACCTGGGGAGCTTCTCCCCAAGGAACAGGTGCTGGAACATTCCAGATCCCTGCGTTCGTGATTTATGATTCCAGCTGAGATTCTCTTCCCGTATTTTCTCCATCTCCAGTGGCAGCCTTGTGGATCTGACTGATGTGGACAGAGCCAGCTACAGCCACCACAGTTACCTGTCCAGTACTCCCCTGCACAGGTAGGACAGGTCGGGGCTGCCTTGGGGGGTCTCAGCAAACCCTGACCCAGAAATCGCTGGAAGGGTTTGATTTTTTGAGGATATTGGGGGTGTTTGGTGGAACAGCAGCATGGAGGGATCTTTGGAAAATACAATGACATTGCCTTGAAGTCAGAGAGGCCAGAGGAGGCCAGGAAGGTGATCAGAGGGATGGAGCAGCTCTGCTGGGAGGAAAGGCTGAGAGAGTTGGGATTGTTCAGCCTGGAGAAGAGAAGCTTTGGGGTGACCGAATCGTGGCCTGCCAGGACCTGAAAGGAGCCTGCAAGAAAGATGGAGAAAGATATTTCCAAGGGCCTGGAGTGACAGAACACAGGGAATGGCTTCAAACTGACAGAGAGTGGGTTTAGATGGGATATTAGGAGGAAATTCTTCCCTGTGAGGGTGGGGATGCCCTGGCACAGGCTGCCCAGAGAAGCTGTGGCTGCCCCATCCCTGGAAGTGTCCAAGGCCAGGCTGGACAGGGCTTGGAGCAACCTGGGCTAGTGGAAGGTGTCCCTGCCCATGGGAGGAGGGTGGAAGCTTTAAGGTCCCTTCCAACCCAAACCACTCCATGATTCTAAGACCTGTTCTGCCCTGCTGGTGTGGTCTCTACACCCCTGGGACAGCACATGTCCCTCTGTACTGTCACTTGACACATGTGGGAGCTGGTTGCTCGCAGGGGTTGGTAAAAGCCTCTGCCACCAGTGCTGGGACTGGAAGCAGCTGTTGTTGCAGAGGAATCCATCCTTCTGTCCTCGCCAGGTCCAGTGACCCCGTGTGCAGTTACTGCAGCCGGGAGATCCGAGACTGCCCCAAGATCATCATAGAGCACCTGAACATCCACTGCCACGAGTACTGCTTCAGGGTGAGCCTCTCTGCTGCTTCCCTGAGTTGCTGGGAATGGAGGGGGAGGGAGAATCTTGGTGCAGATTCCATCCTCAGGCTTTCAGAGCGATGGATCCAGTGTGTGCCAAATCCTTGCGTCACATCGGGACAAACAAAGTCGGGCAGTCCCAGGTGTTGGTTGCATCCCCAGAAGTTTTTCAGGTGCTGGAATAAATGTGTGTTAGAACAAAGAGGATTCTTTATCATTAGCAGCACCCTCGGGACACCCTCATGTCCCTGTCCCCGGGGCAGACTTGCTGTTTTGTGGCCTCTGTGCCCCAACACAGGGCTGGCTGAAGCCTCAAAGCTTGCAAAGTTTACAAGGAAAATCTGTGGGGATGGGGAGGGTGGGAGGAGGAGGGATGGGGAGGGTGGGAGGAGGAGGCCTCCAGGGTCATTTTGCTGTTCAGCCTCAAAGGTCACACCCTCAGCCCCTTATGAAACGATGCAGAGATTGTTCTCTCCCTGCTGTCATTACTGTGTGGGGCTTTGGTTGCTGTCCAACTTCCTTGTTTTCCCTTTGGCAGTGTGGAATTTGCCACAAAGCAATGGGAGATCTTCTGGATAAAATATTCATCCACCGGGACATTGTCCACTGCGACAAGTGCTACGAGAAACTCTTCTAGGTGAGTTTGCAGTGCCCCTTTCTGGGGTCAGCAGGGTGTGAGAGCTCGGAGTTCCCTGAGTGAAGGGCGTTTAAACCCTGAGAGATCCGTGCTGGGATCTTCCTGTGGCCCTTCAGTGGGAAGCAGTGACCTTGTTGCAGAATTAGTCTTGAGCTGGTCCCGGGGGGTGTTAGTTGGAGCCAGATTCTCGGTGACAAACAGCTTCCTGGGGGTGACAGGCAGGGGCTGGCTCGAGTGATGACAGAAGTGTCCCTCAGAGGCAGAGAGTCCTCTTGGGAGGTGATTAAAAGTCCCTCCCTGTGTCCTGGACTGACCTGCTGCGGGTGGTTCGGAGCTGTAACATTCCTCTGACAGGGAGCAGCACTTCGGTGGCAGGTGCAGCTCCTGCTCTGTGTAAAGATCCTTTGAGGGGAAAACCTTTGGGAAAACTGGAGCTGGACACTCTGCCCAACAGATCAGTGGGCTGGACATGGTTTGGTTTTGTCTGATTAGCTGGAAGGGGCAGGAGGCACCATGGCAGCTCCTGCACTGGGTTGTAGAGGCCTCCTGTCCTCCTGCTGCTGAGAGGAGGAGGAGGAGGAGGAGGAGGAGGGAAAGGGGCTCCTGCCTCACTGCTCCGTGTTCCTTGTAATGTGATGTGACTGGCGAGCCCATCCCTGCTCCACTGACCTCCATTCACCCTGCTCCATGTGCTCACCTGCTCCTTATCTGCTTCCAGGGTTCTGCAGAGCTGGGAAGGCAGCCCCTGGAAGTCCACAGCAGCATTGGAATATAGCTGGCAGCTCCTGACTGGCCAAGATAGCAGAATTCCTGCTCCTGCTTTCCTCCAGTTCTTTCCCCTCTCGCTCCTCCCTGGCCATGAGTGAGTTTAGCACCCTGTCACTGTCACCTGCACTGAGATGATGATGGGAATGAGACAAGGCAGCCTCATCCTCAAAGATCAGGTTTCCCAAAGGTCTGGGAGTCAGGCAGAGCTCCTCAGATTTATGGGAGCTCATTGCCAGGAGCCTTTCCTGGTTCTATTTTTCCTTCTTTCCCATGTGCAGCCGGGCTGTGGGAGCTGGCACATGGGCACCGGGAGCCTTCAACACTAAATTTGGATTCTTGGGAAGGGTTTGAATTTAGTTCTTAGCAAAAGCCTATTTCTGCTTCTTTCACCCCCAAATTCAGCCTAGGAATAGCATCTGCCTGATTTCCGTTTGCTTTCCATGGGATTCCAGGAGCACTGGCAGACTGGCTCTACTCTAATTGTGTGTCAGCTTTAATTCCTTTTCTGCCTCCTCAAGTGCTGCCTGTTTGGGAAGATAACACTGTCCCTCCCCTGCTCCTTTAACCCAGCTCTGAGGGCAGGTGTCTCACATGCCAGAGAAGGGGCATCTCCACTCCCTCTCCCAAAAAGAGTTCCACCGAAATCTCAGTGTCCTCCCACACCCCTCCCAAGGCTTTGCCCAGTGCCCCTCATCGCTGTGAATTATTTACAGCACAAATGCTCATCACAGAATTGAACTTCCACTCACAGAAATCAGAATTGTGTCCTTTTAGCTCTTAATTCAGAGGCTGGGAATGCTGGATGCCAAATCCTGAAAGTCAGCCTCTGTGTCTTAAAAGCGTCCAGACTTACTGTTTTCTCGTGGGAAGCATCAGGAAGCAGAGAATCCCAGAATGGTTTGGGTGGGAAGGGACTTTAAAGCCCATCCAGTTCCACCCCCTGCCAGGGGCAGGGACACCTTCCACTAGCCCAGGTGGACACTAGACCTGGCCTTGGACACTTCCAGGGATGGGGCAGCCACAGCTTTTCTGGGCAACCTGTGCCAGGGCCTCACCACCCTCAGAGGGAAGAATGTATGGAAACCACATCCAGAAGTTCCTTACTGGGACCAGTCCCGGTGGTGGGGATGGACTGGTACAGCCTCTGCTCCGCCAAGGTCGGGGGAGGGATTGTTTAAAGTACCAAAGCAGAAGATAAGCTGCAGAAAGAATGTGTTCCTGGATGGTTCCAGCGTTCCTGATGGCCTTACAAGGAGCAGGAGTTGTCCATGTTCTGCAGTTTCCCCCCAGCTCCATGTCTCCTGTAGGAATTGTCTCCCCTCAGCGCTCAGCTCTAATAAACAGCCTCAGCTCTCGTGTCCCTCCCTGCCCTGTGTCTCGTGTCACATCTCCTGGCAGTGCCCTTTGAGCTCATGGGCTGTGCCATTTGTGCTCCTTGGTGGCCCATCCATGAAGTCACCCAAGGCTCTGCTGGAGGAGCAGCAGGACCACCAGGCAGGACGTCCTCAAAGCTGGGGTGGGCTCAGCAAATACGGGCTGATGTTCTCCACAAATTTCAGTTGGCTGGTTGTCCTAAAAACCTGTGATTTCCTGGGGAAAGGGAGCCCTGATCCCCAGTGCTCTGTGTTTGGGAGAGCTGAGGGAGCTGGGGGGGGCTCAGCCTGGAGAAAAGGAGGCTCAGGGGGGACCTTCTCGCTCTCTGCAACTCCCTGACCGGAGGGGGGAGCCGGGGGGGTCGGGCTCTGCTCCCAGGGAACAAGGGACAGGAGGAGAGGGAACGGCCTCCAGCTGTGCCAGGTTTAGGTTGGATGTTGGGAAAATTCCCTCACAAAAAACATTGTCCAACCCTGGCACAACTGCCCAGGGCAGGGGTGGAGTCCCCATCCATCCCTGGAGAGATTTAACAGCCGTGTGGATGTGACACTTGGGGACACAGGTCAGTGGTGGCCTTGGCAGTGCTGGGGAAGGGTTGGACTCGATGGTCTTGGAGGGCTTTTCCAACCTTTACAACTCCATAATTTACGATCCTCAGCAGGCCCTGAGCTGAGAAATCCTCCCTGTGCCCACCAAGGGGTCTGGATTGCTGGTCCTGGGGGTCCTCCTTGTCCCTTCCTCACACATTTCCCGGGATCAAGCTGAGAACTGTCATCCCCACTGTGTGTAGCATCACAAAGGATTCAAGAGGCGTTTTTCCCCCCTTAACAACCTGTATCACCCAAAAGGAACCTTCCAGCAACCCTTAAATGTTATGCTTCATAATTTGTTTTGGAAGAATTGCTGATCTACCCCTTATAAACAAAAAAGAAATTACTTTGCTTTAAAGAGATAAATCTTCCCATTTCCTGGTATTCCCATGTATCTGTGGAGAAGGGTCACCTGCACACAGATTTCTCCTACGTGACATATTTTCTTTCACAGAAAGATCTTATTTCACTCAGGATCCTGCTGCTTGTGGGGGCAAACCTTGACCAGTTTGCTTCACATGAACTCAAATATATATAATATATTATATATAAATATATAATAATAAAATAATAATAATATAATTGAAATTATTACAAGGCAAATTATTAATTATTAATATATTAACATAACATTACAACTAATAAGATACTTTATTATAAATTAACTTATATTAATTTATTATTTATTAAGAAATAACAATTTATAAATAAAATAATAGTAAAATAAATACACATATAATGGCTATGAAACGTGCTGTCAGTGACTGAACAGAGATGGAGGCAAACCCATGCTGGCACCACCAGCCACTCTGTGCTGGCACAGGGCACTCTGCTTCCAGAGATCCCGTTTTCTGTGCAGTTCCATACCTTCCCAGAACACCTGACAATTAACAGAATGCCAAAATCATCTCAAGACCAGCAAAAACCAGGACAAACCTTGACGAGTGCCAGGGCTGCACTGGGTGTTCGGGGCCAACTGGTACAATAAAACAGATCCTGCTCGCAGCCCTTGGCCTTGGTGACTGCAAAACATCCAGTGCTTCTTATCAAAAGGTGCCAGAGGGTGTGTTTGGGTCCCACACGCACGTTTGGGAGGAGGATGTCAGAAGAATGATGGTGTTTTTATTGTTGCCTGATGAAACAGTGCCCTGAAGAGCTGCTACACTCCCCGGGGCTTCGGGAGATCCTTTATTTTGTGTCTTTTTCTGGATCGATGCACAGGGAGAGACCCTTTCCTTCTCACTCAACCCTTTGCCCCTCATTCATCCCCTTTCCCTCTTCACTCTCCCCTTCCTGCCTCTCACTCCCCCATTTTCCTCCCTTACTCCTTTTCCTCACACTTGTCCCTTTTCCCCACACTC